TGATCATAGTTTTACAGTCAGAATGGAGCATGACTGAGTAATTTGTGGGGCTACGGATTGCACAAAAAGAGGGCAATGTCACAAACAGTGGGGAACACCCGACGATATAGCAATAATAGGTTATTTTCCAACTTGTTGGGAAGAATGGGCATGCGGTTCGACCGTTCACACCATTTGGTTAGGTGGTCAATCATGACGACGACGAAACGGTTACCATTCCTGGTCTCCGGCAGAGGTCCTATCACGTCAATACCCACTCGATGGTTTGGTCCTTGCACGGGGATCGGTTGCAGCGGTGCTCTGGGTGTTACGGTGAGGGTCTTCGTCTTCGCACACATAGTGTCGACGGAAACCCGCGACATCGTGGTGTAGCAGAAACCACCAATAGTGCCATTTAATGTGCGCTTCCGTTTTCTTCTGCCCCGCATGCCCCAAATCTCGGTGAACTGCTGCGATGGTCTGCTGGACGCAACTACGTGAGACAACGACACGAGGCTGGCCATCCCGACTATCCATAAGGTGAAGTACTCGAGGTATAGGTTTTTCTCACCGTGACCACAAACTCCTTACTGCCGGGGATCTCGAAGCCATCAGGCATCCAGAGGGGTTGGAGTTGCCCTGGAGCTGGAGGCGGTAAATCTCTCCAATATCTGCGTCCTTAGATTGTTCTTCTTCCCAGTTCATTCGATTAGACGCAAGTAGCACGATAACAAGCTCTGATTCTTGGGCTGGTCTTCGAGATAATGCATCGGCATTCGAGTGTCTAATGCCCGGGCGATTAGTGCAAGAGAAGTTATACTCCTGAATCCGCTCTTGCCATCGTGCGACCTGGCCATCGGAATCGAGGAAGCTTTGCAACCACTGTAGTGAGTGATGATCCGTCCGGACAAGGAAGTGCCTGCCAAGCAGATAAGGCCGGAAGTGATGCAGGAAGTACACCAGAGCAAGCATTCCACGTCGGATGGTGCAGTAGTTACGTTCACGCTTATCTAGAACACGGCTACCATATGCGATGACCACCTCTCGGTCGGCCAGACTTTGGGAGAGTACGGCACCAATTGCCATTTCGCTAGCGTCAGTATCTAAAACAAACTCTCCTGCATCAGGTGAAAGATCCGGGTAAGCTAAAATGAGTGGAGATGTTAATGCCTGCTTAAGACGGTTGAAAGCCTCGTCACATTCTACAGTCAACAAAAATTTCCGATTTTTGTGGGTAAGCTTGGGAAGTGGGGCAGCGATTGCGGCAAACCTTCTAATGAATCTGCGGTAGTATGATGCAAGCCCGTGGAAACTGCGTAAGTCACGGATACCCGTCGGTGTCGGCCACTCGGCAATGTGTTTGGTCTTATCTTCGTCCGATTGGACCCCATCGGAAGAGAGAATATGGCCTAAGAACAGCACTTTACGCTGGAGGAACTTGCACTTTCCCGCACGGAGGGTTAGACCGGCTTCCTCGAGGCGACATAAGACTTCTCACAGCCGGCCGTTTTGTTCTTGGATTGTGTGGCCGTGAACAATGATTTCATCCAGATGGATCAAGCAACATTTAGGGACCAAACCAGCGAGGACCGTCTGCATAAGTCGCTGAAATGTGGCTGGTGCGTTCGCGAGCCCGAATGTCGTATAGGCCCGACGGTACTGCAAAAGCCGTTTTACAGCGGTCCTTCGGGTGGACCTTGACTTGCCAATACCCAGACGCTAGATCCAGGGTGGAAAATAACTTTCAGCCAGCCACTGCGTCAATAGTATCATTCACGCGTGGAAGTGGAAATGAGTTACGCTCAGTGACCTGATTCAGTTGTCGGTAGTCCACACGTGTCCGTAAGCTACCATCTTTTTTTCTTACCAGGACGTTTGGTGACGACCAGGGTGAGGAAGATGGACGGATGATTTTTTTCTTTAACATCTTGGAAAGTAGGCTGTCGAGTTCACCCTGGTAGTGGATTGAGATTCTCCTGGGTGGGATACGTATTGGCTTATGGCCACCTGTATTAATGGCATTTCGAAGGACGTTGGTTCTCCTCAGAGAGGGTCGTGAGACATCCAGCACAGTGTAGAACTCCATTAGCAAATTGATTGCGCTACTACGTTCTGTGTCAGGTATGTTGTGTCAACAGACGAAGTACTGTTACATTCTGATTTAGAGAACCGGACGGTACCTGCCTGGGCATCAATGTGGGCTCCGTGCAAGACTAAGAAATCCATGCCCACAATTACATCCCAGTTGATTCGTGCACAGATGAGCGTAAAATTGGTATTTATATCAGATAGGGAAAATGCTGCCCTATTTACGCCAAGTGATGAAATGAAAGATCCATCGGCGCTAAGGAGTTCCGGGCAGTTGTGGCTACTATTAAGCTCTGGTCGTAATAAATCGATAGAAACCATCGAACGAGAAGCACCAGTGTCAACTAAGATGTTCACAGGTTTAGAGTTCAATTGCCCTATTATGATTAGGGGTGAGGACTGTCTAGTAGAAGCGGTAGGGACAGTTGTGGACAACGGGGACTTACTGTTATGGGAGTTGTGGCCGCAGCGCCCGGCATTCTTTCCGAAGCGCATACAGTAGAAGCAATTCCGAGGGTTTGGTTTGGTTTCAGTGGGGGTCCATATATCCTGTCGATGACGTTGCGTTTTTGGAAACAACGGGGTAGGAATTGGGGCTGTATCTCCATTGTCATACAGGTGTCCGTACGTCCGGCGATTTGGAGGGCGTCGCCCAAAGTCCGGTCGCCTCTACGACGAAATTTCGCCTTCAAGTCGGCGTTTCGTACCCCAGCCATGAATCGCTGGGCCGCGTGAACTTTACGAACTTTTGGCGAATCCTCAGGATATGCCTTTGCAGCTAGGTCTCGGAGGGCGTCGGCATACTCGCCCGCTGTCTCACCCGGCTGCTGGTTTCGGTTTAAAAACGCTCTCGTAAAGCACCGCTCGGCGGTAGCGTGCCAAACAAGGAGGCCAATTGGATCCAGGAGTGTCCGGTGATGCAGACAATGAAAGGCCTGAATGAAGTACGCGACAGGCGGCGGAGTCATCAAGCCGGGACAAGATGAATTGTCCGTGCTGCTCTTCAGGTACTGATGAAAGAATGCTTTCATTCGAAACGACCACAGGTCGAGATGGTCGCCCGGGTGGAGCATTCCCGGTGGTAATAGAGTTGGTTGAATTCGGTGCAGTATCAGCCTATATCTTTTCCATTTCTTCTTCAGCGGTGCGCGTCACGTTGGGTTTAGCCGGCATGTCGCATATATGAGTCACAGGACTGACTGTATCCCACCTCTGTCACCAATGTAGCGTGGGACATCAGGAGGTCAGCGGTATTCGACGTTCGGGA